TAAACATGGGTTTCTATTAGATTTGTCTCAAAGCAAGTTTTAGTGGTATACAGAGACGGAAAGACAGGAGATAAATGATGTAAGAAAATGTATCCTTTAAATGTTGGAGTGCCCTAGGAGCTCAGACCCTCAGTGATCTCATCCTGCCTCACGGCTTTAAATACCATGTCCGCACTGATGACTCTCACATTTGTATCTCTAGCTGGACCTCTCCTCTAAGCTCCAAACTCAGGTATCTGTCTTTTTGACTGCTTCAGTGGGATGTCTGAGAGGCACTTCAAATCTCACGTCCACTCTAAGCTCCTGACATGGCCCTCTCCCCACCCCACTTGCTCTGCTCACAGTCTTCTGCATCTCAGCGAAGGGCAGCTTCCCTTTCCGCTTGCAGAGGTTATGAACTTGGGAGTCATCCTTCACTTATCTGGTACTCCTTAGCAAGTCCTGTCAGTTCTAGCTTCAAAATATAATCACTTCTGTTTTGCACTGCTTTCAAGGTACCATAATTTCTTACCTAGAGTATTGCGATCAAGTCTGAACTAGTCTTCCTGCTTCTGCCTTTGCCTTCCTTCAGTCTATTCTCTCTTAGCCCCCAGAGTGATCATATTGAAATGTAAGTCAGATTATGTCACTCCTCCAATGGATTTTCATCTTATTCAGGGTATGACCCAACGTCCTTTAATCATCATCCCATCCCCGCTCTCCTTTCCTTCTTCAGCCTTGTTGTTCACTGATCATAAGAAGCATGGTCCCACCTCAGGACCTTTGCATATGCCTTTCCACCAGGTATCTGTATGGCTTGCTTCCTTTCCTCCTTTAGGTCTTTACTCACAATCAGCTTCTCAGTGAGGCTTTCTCTAGCCAATGATCTAAAATTACTACTCCCATCCCCATTTTGTGCTTTATTTTCCTCCTTAGTATTTATCTAACATACTATGTATTTTACTTATTTCTACTGATACTGCCTCTTCCACCAGATGTAAGCTCCATGAGGCAGGAATTTTTGGCTGTGGTTTTCATTGCTGTATCCTCTACACTTAGGAAAGTGCCTGACACATAGTATAAAGTCAATAACTATTTGTTGAATGAATAATTGAAAAAAATGGGTGGTACATATCCTAAGAAATAAAGATTATTAGTGAAAGCATGATTTAATCAAGGCCTGTGAGCCTAATGTCTTAAAAAAGTTCATTTGTTGTTCGGTTTTCATGGTAATTTGTCTTTGGAGGAACTGACTTAATTTCCCAAAAGAACAGGCATGATTTATCTTAGCAATGTGAAACTTCATAGATAAGTGTTTAGGGAGAAGGAAGAGAATAATGATAAATACAGGTGGGTATTAAATAATGTCCACTGTTTGCCATGTTAGCTGAGCTAATGATTTTTACTATTCATAGTGGACTAAAATTAGAAATGAATAAAAAAAAGTTGCTCTTTGATTGGATTAGCAGTGTCTGGCACACAGTAATGTAATATATAAAGAGAGCTGGACTGGATGCCATCCAAGAGGGCTTAGTTACTGAGTAGTTGTATTTCTAGTGATTCTACAGTATAGGCATGGGTGTCCAGGCTGGTTACAGTTAAACTTAGAAATAAAATAGGGAATGGTAATGAAGATATTATCTTTAGACCTGAAAATTATAAATGCTTCGTTGTTATTCCTTATCAGCTAAGCAGTTAATGAATGTATAGACTATGAGCCCTCAAATGAACTTTAGATGACAGGGCAATAAATACTAAATAGAGTTAGAGGTAGAATGATAAAATGGAAAGATAAAGGTTGGGAAACCTGGATTCCAGCTTTCACTATGTCGCTAATTGGCTATGTGATTTGGGTTGAGTCATTTAACCTCTCTTAGTTACCTCACCCATAAAATGTGGATAATGGACTAATAGGCTTCAGTGATCTTCCAAGCTCTAAGTATTATAAGATTTTTTTTTTTACTTTAAGCTTAACCACTGTGGTAGGCAGAATAATGCCCCTCCACCCCTCACCCTGCCCCAAAGATGTCCACGTCCTAATTCCCGGAACTTTGGATATGTTACGTTACACGGTGAGGGGGAATTAGGTTGCTAATAAGATGCCTTAAAGTATGGAGATTATCGTGAGTTATCTGTTTGGGCCCAATATAATTGCAAAGGTTTTTTTTTTTTTTTTTTTTTTTTTTGTAGCTGAGCCATCCAGCCACCTGTTGACAGCTCAGTGGCTGCTCAGCTCGGGCCGGGACTCGAACTGCTGCTGCTCAGAGCTCAAACTCTTGAGCGAGCTCTTAACCAACTGAGCCACTCAGCCGGCCCTGCAAAGGTTCTTAAAATGTAGAAGAGGGAGGCAGAAGAGTAAGCGGCAGAGTGATGCCGAGAGAAAGATCTGACTGACCATCGCTAGCTTGGAAGATGGAGGAAGGGGCCATGAGACAGGGAATGTGGGCAGCCTCTAGGAGCTGGAAAAGGAAAGAAAACAGGTTTCCCCTAGAGCCTTCAGAAAGGAACACAGCTCTATAGACACGTTGATTTTAGCCCAGTGAGGCCTGTGTCAGACTTCTGACCTCCAGAACTTAAGTATTGAATTTGTATTGTTTAAGCCATTAAGTTTATGGTAATTTGTTACAACAGCAACAGGAAACTAATACGATCATGATATATACCATAACTAGCAAAACTGGACCCAAATCTATCACAGATGCAGGGTTTTAACTAAAACTCCGATACTCGGGTATTTTGTAAAGATCTCCAGAGGTAGAAGTAGTCAGACACCATGAGAAGTTTGTAGAAAAGTCATAGGAGAGAGTCTTTGGGGTAATAAAATTACTAGTGATTCACATGAAGGGTAGAAACCTGGATATTTTATGAAGGAAAGAAAATGGCAAGAAAAGAGCAATTGGAGGTGATCCACAATGTAAGAGTTTCTTACTTCTCTGGACCTCACTTTACTCATCTATAAAATAAATGTAGGGCTGCGATAAATACTTTCTAAACTCCTCTAGCTCTGAAATGAGATGCTAACATGGGCCTTTGACACCCTGCCCTCCCCAAAGTTTGAAGACTATTCATTTTAGAAAGTACTAGAATTATCTTTAATGTCTGATGGTCAGACTTTACAAAGAGCTCTTAGTTTAACAAGAAAGTGGCTCTGAATTTTAACCCTGACACTCTTATTCAGGTAGGTTACTCAGGAACATTATTTAGCTTTCTTACTCTGCTGCCACCTCACCTATAAAGGTATGGTAAAAATTTAGGTGGGTTTTCTAAGGAATGAATTATTTTAGATGTCTGAAAGTTGATTCCTTTATGAAACTAAACTTTAATTATATTTGATGGAACTATTTCTAAAATGAAACACATGCCCTACTTCTACATAAAATTGAACGGGCACCCTGCTTCCTTTTCTTGAAAACAGAGGTCATAGTAGTAACATCAACTATTATAGTGGGCTGTAAGACAGTGATGCTTTAGAATGCAGTCAGCAGACTATGGCCGGCAGGCTGTGTTTACAAGGGTGGGAGATAATAGTTTTCACAGTTTGAAAGGGTTGTTAAAAAAAAGAAAGAACATGTGACCTAGACCCTAAATATTTACTACCTGGCCCTTTACAGAAACTTTTGCTGACTCTTACTCTACACAAAGACGTGTAGGCCTCTTCACCAAATGTGACAACCAGATTGAACATTATGCTCTGTCACCAAAGGAAGCACATCTATCTTGGCACAGGGTCTGACAAGATAGCTCAAATATTTGAGGAAAAACAAAGGCTGCTGACATCTGACATTCTTCTGTTGCTTGTTGTAACTCTCCTACTCACTTGCAGGTTTTTGGCAATCACTATACCTGCCCCTAGCAGTCACTCGCCTTTTCTACTCTCCACCTTTCTAATCTTGGCCTGGAAATTTGATAAGTGAGCTTATAAACATTTTAAGCAACAAAAGATTAAATTGGTTATGTGAAGACCCTAGAACTATTTTCTAAGTAAAACACAGGTGGTTTGGTACAGGGATTTGGTGACTTATTTGGGTTGTTCCAAGGCCTTTAAATTTATTTCTAGGTTCTCTGCTACCCTTTGGAAAAGCAAGGTTGCAGGACAGACGAGGTCTTACTGCAGTATGCCTGATCATGTTTTATTTTTATAATATAAAAAGAGCATTATATCTGAAAAGCTATTCACCAAAATATTAAACTTTAGCCATCTGAATGGTAGGATTTTCTTGGAATATCTGATTTTTTTTTTACAATGAATATTACTTTTATAATCAGAAAAGCCATTTTCATTTTTAAAAAAAGAAGGTAAATTGGATCTCTCCATCCAATCTCACTGATCTAACTTAACTATTTTCATTTAGCATATTTTCTTTCAGCACACCTCCTTTCATTATTTGATCACTTTTTAAATATTGTGATTGTAATATATTGTGATTGTAAATATTGTGTTTACGGGTTTTTATTTTGACTCACACCTGGGTTGCCATAGGTTACCCATGGTTACTATAATACTGAAAAATAAACTATAAATATGAAGTACTGCAGGAATGAATGTGGTGAAAGGTGACTGAGCTTTTTGACCTCTGCTCCATTCACTTTATACAAGTTCAGACGAATAACACCCAACCTAGTGTTAACATTTCACAAAACACTTTCCTTCATTTAGTCCTCACAACAACCCTGTGAGGCAGGCATATTCTTGGAGGTATAATGACTTGGCCAAAGTCACTCACTCGGCTAGTCAGGGGACAGGCTTATCAGCCTGGTCAAGACAACAGGTCTTTGGAGGAGCTTCTAGTAGTAACATTAGAGCTTTCACTACACCCTGGCCTCTATGTTCGCTCACCTGACAGTTACCTTTAGAAACTCAAATCCTGCCTCTTCCACGCCATCACGGCACACTGAGGGCTGGGGAAACCTGTAGCTCACACCGAAAGCTAACACTCTCCATCCCCAAAGCCCCAGTGCCAAAGCAGAGAAGAGCACACAGTCGGCCCCCTCCCGCGAGCCGCGTACCGGCCCCGACTAACCTGACTAGGTCGGTCATGCAGGAGCCCACCACTACCACCGCCGCCACCTCCTCCTGCCACTGCCTCCCGGGTTCCCCAGACGCGGCCATTGCTCAAAGGAGGTGCTCTCCAACCTGGAAGCTGCCCTTTACCCTTTGTCCGACCCCGTAACCAGAGACGCCGCTCCTACACTTCCTAACGACGCGGGCCTTCCCGAAGCCTATGCGGGTCGCCCACCTGAATGCCCGAAATAACCCCGCCCACCAACTGCCCCTCGTTGTTCCAGGAATTGTCTCCCTGCACCGCCTCTCATTACAGGGCCCTTTCGCTAGTTCCAGACTCCGCGCTGCTCGACATGCAGGGGGCAGGCGCTGAAGCAGGAACTTTCAGGCGCTGCTGGGACGCCTTTCCGAGCACCCGGCTCAGCGGGCCGGGGGCGCGCACGCCGCCTGGCTTCTGGGCCGCAGGAGGGGCGGGGCGGACGTGCGGGGGCGCGCACGCATCCTGCCCGCGGTGCGCGCGCAGGTCGGTGCGTCGGTCGGGGGCGCGCTCGGGTAACCTGTACCCCACGTAGTCGCCGGTTACCGAAAGGACTAAGTTCCAGGTACCTAGACTGGGGCTGGTGCGGGGAGGATGGATCCCGAATCGCACAGGTGGCGCTGAGGACCGTGGCTTAAATATCCCCAGGGCTTGCCATCTCTTCCCATAGAGAAGGCCCTCGTTCCAAAGATGCCCTGTTTATCCCCATCACGCTGGTCCCCTCAAGAACGAGACCCCAAGGCCAGGAGTTGCTCTTTTTCCTTATGTAGCCCGCCCCCTGGTCCCCGATTAAGCTCAGACTCCTTCCTCCGTCTCGCTTGAGGAAATCATACAATTTGGGGGAAGGGAAGCGTGTCCCCTGTCAGATCTCCCCTAGAGTGGGGTGATCATTCTTTGGGTCTGAGCCGATTTGTTTTTCTTGAATGTTGTTCCGTGGAGAGATTACTTCCCCCGTGTAACTTCCCTCGTGCGCTGTATGACGTCGACGTGACGCAGCAGAACGCCAGCCCTTTCCGTTCCATGACGTCAGCAGGGCACATGTTTCCGTGTTTGTCATCCCATCTTAATTGCAAAAAACTGGATGATGCTTTAGACGTCTTTGTATTCCCCAGGTGGCCCATCAAAGGACTTTATGTGACCCTATTTTGGGGCAGCAGATCCTTGTAAAAATTGTATTTCTGCATTTTCCTCCTATAATATGTCAAAATCAGGAAATACAAATTGCCTAACTGGCTTTCAAGGAAGGCTGGTCACCATAAACTTTTGCTTATCCCCAGATAAGCATCTATTACAGTGCTGCGATGTGTAAAAGCTACTGCTAGGGGATGATGCCCCACCCAATGTCCAGGCTCAAAAGGACCTCACCAAAGGACCATCATTGGCTCTTCTGTGACCTTTGATTTTGGAGTCATTATTTTTTTCCTCTCCTTTAGAAAAGTCACAACACCTCACGGTTGAAACAGATTTTAACGCAGCATGGAATCTTGAACTGTCAAAAAATAGCATTATGGCTGTTCTGGAAACAAAGACAGAAATTCATTCCTTTTAGGTGTCATCCTAAGGTCATGACAGTTGCTGAATTGGAATGGGTTGTTGTCACCTTAAGTATAGTTTGGCTCTCGGAGCGGGTTTGTTCCCTTTAGCTTTTGACTAGTGCATCACTTCAGCAGCAGGCCAGCCATAGTCTAATTTGTTTCTAGTTGTCAAGCAACCATGAATTTAAATCTATGACATTTTGTCTCCATTTTACAAGATGTATACTTAAAAAAAACTCGCTTTGATGCTTTGCTCTTTGGTGATTCTAGTTATAAATTCTTATTTGAGAGAAAGATGGTAATAGTGGACTTTGAGGGAGACCTGGATTTGAAGTTTTTTGTTTTACTTTTTTATTTTTATTTTAGTTGGATTTGAATTTTGATCCTTCTGCTTGCAAGGTTTGTGATTTTTAACAAGTTATTTAGTCTTGCTGAGTTAATTAGCGTTCTTATCTGCAAAATGGAAACAATAATATTAACCAGAGGACAGGATTTTTTTGGGGAAGTAAATGAAACTGCAGCCAGGTGGGTATCTGAGGAGATGTTCAGAACGTGTTGATTCTGTTTCCCTTTTTCATAGAAACGAGAGATAAAATGATTATAGGCATTATGGGAAAAAACATGGAAAAAAATTCTGTACTGTAGGTGAGATCCTTTTGCTTTTTTCTGAGGTAAGTATTTTTGTTTTTGCGTATGATCTAGATAAGCATCCTTTCAAGAACCGTGACATCAGTGGATAGAAAAAAGAGTGGAAATGTTGAAGAATAGAGAATAGTAGGCTTCAAAATGATAATATGGATTAGTATACTTTTCAAAGACCCATTATAAAAATTATCTGTATCACCTGTTCAGTGGGAATTCTAATAGCTTCCTTACTGCCCAGGATTGTGAATATCAACTGCAGTTATGTATATGGAAGCGCTTTATACGTGATCAAGTGTTATAAAAATGCATATGACTTTTACGATTGATAATACCATGCATTAGATGGTTATTACTTTGTGAAGACATTGGAATGGTGGAGGGATTTCATCTGTTAAGTGGTCAGAAGAGGAGCTTGTTTTATATTTGCAGAAAGGATTATTTGAGTACTAAGTGTAAAGCTTTTACTTCCTCAAAGGGTACTTACTACATAGGGTCACATGTTACCATTTTTTGAAAGATCACTTCAGTCTTTCCCTTTGCTATTGTCTGAAATGATGAAAACAGGTACTAGTTTTCAACATTTATTTTAGCAGAGACATGTAAATTCTCATATGGTATAATATATGGAAACTAGAACCAGAACATCATTTACTTGTAATTCGCAGGAAATTAATTTCCTTTTGATATGGGTTTATCCTTTCAGATTGAGGAAGAAAATGATCATTTAAATTGACTTATTCACCTCTGAAAGTAGAGGCTTTCATTTAGAAATCTATTAGGAGGAATTAATGTACTCCCTCCCCAAGCCCCACGGTTTCCAAGTAATTTAGATATGATTTGTTGGTTTTACTTCTGTATTTTCAAGTTTTATATTTCAACCGTGAGGTTTTGTGAGAACTTCTTAGTGCCTTGCAGACTTTTAGATCCATGTTAGTTTGTGTTGCTGAATATCTGAATAGGTGTATGTTTCCATGATTTAATTGTTAAGTAGATTTTTGCTACACCTATTCCTCACATACACTATCCTCTACCAAAGTTTTGAGGGTATGTTATCGTCTCCATACCTAAATATTCCTCTAGCTTTTGTCTCCTTCATTTATTTATTAAAAAAATGTTTATGGGGTATTTAGTTTGTGACCTGTCTCCAGCTGAGAGACCCCTAAGCATGTAGTTATAATATACTGTGGAGAGACAGTTATGAGGAGAGGTATATCACAAGTAAATAATTTCTATTAAGTAACATTTGCAAGCTGTTATGCTTGTTCTAGGATTTTATATAGTGTTATCAATCAAGTTCTTATTCCTAGTGGGGACACAGAGGGAAGATTTCTGACCTAGTGGTATATGTGTTAGAAGTAGAAGATTGTCAGCGAAGGCTTCTTAAGGCCTCAACTAAAGTAGAACCTGCCAGTTGTCAGATAGAATGGACGGATTTAAGCAGAGTGTGGCAGTGTAGAAATCAGCTTTGGAAAGGAGGAGGGAATTGGCTATCAAGGGCTGCCTCTGTTCCTGAAAATCAGTGGTGTAGCCTATGCCCTAAGCAGGTGAGCAGCAGGGAGATGGTTTGTTTCACGAGAAGAGGCCGCTGTAAGACAGAAGTATTTATTCATGCAGGAGAAACTTAGGTGTGCTGTGCCAATTTTTAGGAAGCTTCTTATATACCTGGTTCTTTTGGATACTCTGATCACCCTTTTTCCCTTCTGCTTTCAGTGGTGGTTTGCAAGTCAAGTTAAAATGTCCCCAGAAGTGGCCTTGAACCGAATTTCTCCAATGCTCTCCCCATTCATATCTAGTGTGGTCCGCAATGGAAAAGTGGGACTGGATGCTACGAACTGTTTGAGGATAACTGACTTGAAATCTGGGTATGTACTAGAACCAATGCAACCTTTACCTAATGAAAAACCTTTCTTGCCAGACTCATGAAAACTGGCCACAGAAATTCATCAAGTCATGATTTTAGCACGTGTTGCTTCAGTTGGTTTTTTCTAGCTCTTGATATTTTATGTTTCGAGTTGTTTTGTTTGTGTTGTGGGCTACTGCTTTATGGCCATTGCTTTATGTGTTTTGGGGGGGCCTGTTTGCCACATGGTTTTTAGAAAGTGTTGTTTTTCATTCATTACTGGTTTTCTTGTTATGTCTTCTGCAATCCAGCATACACTGCAAGAGTCGGGTGTTGGGATTCTGAATTTGATAATCTCTCCTAATAGGAAAATTATAATAGCTAGCTAAAATCAGTCATTTTTTTCATAATGGCAAGATCTCATGCCTACAAAAGTTGCATTAAAAAAAAAACCTCAACTTTTTATTTTGAAATAAATTTAGATTTACAGAAAAAATACTATAGAAAGTTAACGTTGTTACAATACTGTTAATTGTCCTATAAGCCTTATTTGAATTTGGCCAGTTTTCCTATTAATGCCTTTTTTTTGTTCTGGGATCCAATCCAGGATACAAATTGTGTTGAGTTGTCGTGTCTTCTTAGTCTGCCCAACCTGTGACAGTTCTTGTCTTTCTCTGTCGTTTATGGTTCTGACATGTTTAAAGATAGCACTGGTTAGTTATTTTGTAAAATGTCGCTCAATATGGGTTTGTCTAATGTTTTCTCTTTATTAGAGTGAGAAATGCATTTTTTCCAAGAATACTACAGAAGTGATGTTGTACCATTTTCAGTGCATCACATGAGTACATGATATTCATGTGTCTTATTACTGGTATGTTAACTCCTTGGTTCAGATCGTGTATTCCAGGTGTCTTCACTGTAAAGTGGCTTTCCCTTTGTAATTAGTATCTTGTAGAGTGATGCTTTGAGACTGTGCAGAAGTCCTGTTTGTCATCATACTTTTGTCCATTGATTTTTAGCACCCACTGATGGTTCTTGCCTGAAACTCTGATTACTTCGGTGCTTGGCTAAGAGTGATTTTCTATTTCTCTTATTGCTCCCACATCTATTAATTTCAATTCTACTATAAATAAGTGCTTTTCTTTCTCCCCCAATTATTTATTTTTTTCATTTATTTTTTTATATCAGTGTGAATTTTTAGGTATTTTTTTATCTTATGGGTTATAATCTGAATTGATTATACTGTAATAAGTACTATCTTCATTAATTTTATTGCTCGGTTGTTCTAGCCTTTGCCATTGGGAGCTCTGTCAAGTTGGCTTTTGTGTCCTTTTGACATATCTCCATCATTTTTGAGCACTTTCTCACTAGAAATGTTACCTTCTTGATTCTCTTTCAGCTTTCTTTTTAGGGTTTTGCCTTCTACAAATTTGCTATGTTTTGACTAAGCTTGGATACAAAGATATAGACCTACATTCTTTAGTAGCAAGATAAAGAAGACTAAATTAGTTGGACATGCCATTGGAATACCAGGATACTTTTTAAAAGATCTGGTATTACCTTCAATTTCTTTTTGGGGTGACGAAAATGTTCTTAAGTTAGATAGTGGTGAAGGTTATACAACTCTGCAAATATACGAAAAGTGACTAAACTGTGCACTTATAAGGGCGAATTTGAGGGTATGTGAATTACATCTCAGTAAAGCTGTCATTAAAAAACACTAAACATATGAACCAGAGATGTTTATTGGCTGGAACGGATAGGACATAGAAATAGGTCTTTATTTTTTAGTTGTCACATTCTTTTCAGAGATATTGAAGACATGACAGGGGACTAATGGCCAGAGGACTGGGGACTGGTTTTTGTAAGACGATGTAAAACTGAACTTCTGACTTCTTTTTTCAGTATCCTAAGAGAACAGTTGGTCCTTTGACATAAAGTCATTCTACTCCTTTTCTGCAGACCCCTCTCCGGTGCTCCCTGATTCCTGAATGTTTAGTTCAGTGTCTAAGTGTGAATAGTGGCCCTGATGATAAATTTGAAATGAATCCATTAGACCTGGCCCTGGCTGGACTAGATCTGTGAAAAATTTGAAACGGCATTTAATGACATCTAGTATTTATGGAATTTGCCTTCCTCAGATTTAAAAAAGGAATAAAAATACCTCTACCTACATTAAGAGTTGTTATACATAAAATGATGTGAAAAGCCTTATTAATCTAGAGCATTATTGATGCCTTTTATGTAGTCCTTGTCTGAAAGATCCATGCAAGTTCTTTAGAAGCTCATTAACAGTTCTTTCTTCTGTCCTTCCTTCAGCCAGAGTTGGATTCCTCAAGTTTCTATAGCAAAACAGTGGCAGAGTTGGAAAAAAGAATGGCTTCTTTTTGGTGTGTCATTTTTGGCATTCCCCTTTCTTTCAAAATCAGCAGCACTCACAGTTATGAGAACTGGGATCCACATTTGAGATTTCTGTTAAGTCAAAGGGGCATCCATATAGGACACAGTCTACACCAAGTATAACATGAAGAGATGAGTTTTAGAGGTCACAAGAGCCAGTCTTGTTACTATTTGTAGCTACTTGCTCTGGAAGGGATGAGGTCTGAGGATCTATATTGTAGATCTGGCTCACAGGAGGAATAGAGAGGCAAGAATCCATTCAAAGTAAGATTTTTAAAAAATAGTAATTCATCTTTACTTCTCTTATGGCACTCAAATCTTTCTACCATGTCTGTGTGTGTTTCTAAACTCCATTGCTAGGCTGTCAGTATCTTAAGGACAGGGTTCTTGTATAATTCATTTTTATGCCTCCTTAAGGTGTTACTGTGGTGGTACCTTTGACACGTAGTTTAGTAAGTAAAGGTTGAATGAATGAATGGGTTTGATGTTTTCCTAGAGAAGTTGCTTGATTTGGGGATCAGAATGGTGTGGACTTGTGGCTCAGAAGAATGTTTTATTGGTCTGGTAGTTTATTGCTTAAATTCTGTTACACATAATCCTTTTAGATGACATTCCCTGACAAATGAATTGACATTTTTGAAATTACAGCAATGTGTATTACAGCACTGGGCTTACCCTTTTATGTGTAATATATATTGATACTAAAGGGGCCACATTTTTAATTTTAGGGAATCATTCCTTGAGTCCACTGAATGTTTATTAGCTCTCTGCTCTGTGTTAATTTGATCATAAGCATATGCTATTTGTAAGAAGCCATGTTTTGTCATTTTTAATGATTTACTAATCTTGAAGGTGTCTGAGTGTTCAGCATTCTGGAATGATGCCTGACGACTATAACAGAGAGGAAAGCAGAGAGGGCTCACTGCAACCTATGGCAGCCGAGCCTTACTATTTTTTTTCAGCATGTCACAGTGGCTCAACCTTATTGGCGCGTGGCTGTGTTTGGGGCATCGCTGTGACATCTCATTCACCCACAACTACCTGTTGCATTTTTTGTCCATGTTCTGAATTTCATTACTTAATTAAAAATAGATATTCAGTGTACTTGATTACTCAATAGAACAGTTTTAAAAGATGAGTGTTGTAAGCTTTGAAGACCAATCTCAATTTGGCAGCATTATTCTCTCTAGCTGGCACGTTGAACCTTTCTTTATTAGACTGGTGCCTGGAAGGAAGCTGCTGCCCTCAGAAGCAATTTTAATTTTGAAGATGGACAGCTTTTTAACAATTCAGTATCTAGTCACGTGACTTTTCCATTTCACTTTCCTTTCTGTACTCTTCTGGGATCTCTTCTCTTTTTTCTTGCGCATATCTTTATACTTTATATATTTATTATGTAT